TATGACAAAACCCTCAACTTGTCATAGGTTTTATAAAATTTTAACAATAAATGCGATAGTTATAAACAAATGAAAAAATGGGCACTTTTCTTGTTTTTTTGCAATAACTTTTTTGTTTATTAACCGATTTTAATTTAACCAGTCTCATTTTGTAGATAATTTTACTCCCTATAAGCAGTCTGCGAGTCACTTTTCGCTAAAATTGATGGTTTTCCCTGCAAAGTGAAAAAACTGTTTTCCTCACTTATTTGTTTAAATAGAAAAGTTAGCTAATAAAAGTTTTTGACTCACGAGACGAGAGATGTCTTGTATTATGTTCCTTTAGACAATTTTACAATAATCTAGCGGATAGAATTTTTTTCGAGTTTCTCTTTTATTTTCGCTAATTTTCCTGGTGTAGTGGTGATTTTCAGTAATTTGAATAAAACTTTAGCAACGTGAACATCAGTTTTTATATGTATTTTGAAACAAAGAAAAGGGTTGTTCTTTCCAAAATATTGTTGCTTTCTAACTGGAACAATTTAACAAAAAAAACGAGACGGTACTATTACGTTCGGTTTGACGTAAAAGAAAACGGAGATTATCATATTTGAAAGAATCTAGTCTCTGTTGTATGGTTACTAATTTGCTATTATATATTTATCATTTTGTCAAATATATTTTATAAATCGACAAAGACTTTACCATCGTCAGAATAATTCACAGAACATTTAACCTTTGTCTTGTATTCTTGTTTTTTCAATGCAATTAGTTTGTAGGAGTCGAAGTACAAGCATTTACCGTTTAGTTTATTTCTCTTTTGTCTGGATTACTATTTTGTTAAGTTTATTATTATCTCACAGCGATTGTATAGGACAATAAATATAGGTATCTAAAACGCCCGACTGCCATTTTAATCCAGATATGAGACAGGATTAAAATAATAAAAAGCAAACAAAACCCTATCGATTTGTTGAAAATAAAATTAGGTAATTTAATCTAGCTTCAATAACCTATTATGTATGATATGTGTGAAGGACGTCCCAAAAGTCCACTTGCGTTTTTCCCGAAAAACACCTCTAATAGGCCAAAACAAATGACGGCATAATTTATGCGTAAGCTTAAGCTTTGTGTGTAATTTGTAACGTTGAAAATGGGCGATTATAGACGATGCCAAGCCATATTTTTTTTTCTAAGACTTACTCCATTCTATCTATGGTTTATGACAAGTACATTGAGTTCTTACAAAAAAAAAAAATATAAGGTTCTGCCGTAATTTCGAAACTTGAAAACTCTGTTGTCAGTTGTATGTATAAAGCTTAACGTTGATCGTGATAAGTTTATATATAATGTTTTATAACAATGAAAAAGTGAATATGTTATTCGCATTTGAGAAACAAAAAGACATTGATATTCGACTTTATAATGAATGCTAGAAAGTAACACCATATCATAAAATAATTTCATTATTTGTAAGAATTTTGTGAAATAATGAACAATGCTTCCTAGATGGCAAATTATGAAAATTCGTCCATATTAGCAACTGCTTTGAGGAAAATCCAAATATTCAATTCAATAGGCTCATCATATTTTCATCAAATTCACTATATTGAAAGTGATAAAGGATAATCATGACTACAACATATAAAATGTGCAAATGTTTACAGATGATGACTGTCATCGAAGGTAAAATATAATAGATTTGCTAAACCTCACATAATTTAACGCTAAAGAACAGAATGTGTAAATGTACAAAATGTTTTAAAATAAGTACCATAAATTCAAGGACGCACGTCAACATTGGGCCGAGTATTTAGGTACGTCGTCCGTTTAGTTCGACACGATTTAACTATACAGGGTCCGGCAAAATGATCTCCCAATTTTAACCGAAATTGTAAATGCTATATATATATTTTGTTTATTATATGGAAACATATACTATGCCATTTGTGTCCATTAAGTTTTGAAAATTACGGAGTCCAAGTGGCGGCCATTTTTTTCGATACACATTCCAAGCTGATTTCTGAAGGCTTCCATGACTCGAACAGTCATTTGAGGCGGTATTTCTGCAATTTCTTGGCGAATTACTGCTTTCAATTCGTCAATGGTTCGGGGATGGTGTTGAAAGACCTTCTCTTTCAGGTAGCCCCACAGGAAAAAGTCGCATGGGACAAGATCGGGTGAACGCGCTGGCCACCCAATGTCTCCACGTAACGAGATTACATGTCCTGGAAAAATTTCCCTTAAAACGTCCATTGACCTTCTTGCCGTATGAGCCGAAGCTCCATCTTGTTGGAACCACACATCCGGATGTTCAAATTCTCTAAGTTTTGGTTCCAAAAAATTGCGTAGCATATCGATAAATCGATCGGCAGTCACAGTAACCGTTACGCCTCCCTCCGCAAAAAAAGTAAGGACCCCAAACGCCAAATGATCCAACAGCACACCAAACGGTAACACGTGGGCTGTGAAGTGGCCTTTCATGGAGCTGCCGCGGATTTACTGGTGCCCAGTAGCGAAAATTCTGCTTGTTCACACAACCAGATAAGTGGAAATGAGCTTCGTCGCTCTTTATCAAAAAAGCATTTTGTGGGACGTTTTGAAGAATCTCGTTGGAACATGCTCTACGATTAACCCAGTCTCGTTCACTAAGTTCTTGCACGATCATCATTTTGTATGGGTGGAACTTCAGATCTTGGTGTAAAATTCTTCTCACGGTACGATCTGACAAACGCAAAGCTGAGGCATGCTTAGCAGCTGAACGCGTAGGAGATCGTTCCACTGCTTCTCTTACAGTTGCGACATTTTCAATTGTCCGAGCGCTTCTGGGTCTACCAGGTGATTTTCTTTTTAAAGTTGAACCTGTGGCTCTAAAGTTTGAAAACCACAACAGTATTGTTTTGCGATCTGGAACAGGAACATGTCTACCAAGCGCGAAGCGAGTACGAAAAGTTCTTTGCGTTGTAATCACAGACTCGTTATTCTTAATAAAAGTTTCGACAATGAAGGCACGATGCTCACCCGTTCAATTCATGACGGCAACCAGTGTTGCCAGATGGAAATTTCTGTCAACAGTAGAAATGTAGCCAAAAAAACAGGAGATTTCTTTTTTCAACAGGAGATTTTAATAAATATATTTTTTAATAGAGGAACACATGCACAAAATATAGCAAAATATTATATTTATATAATATATAATTGTAGGAGTTCGTTTAATAGTTTGCAATTACATCGGTACGTCACGTGATTTGACAACTGTCAGTTGTCAAAATAAAAAATCCCAGAATCCCGCTGAAGTAAACGAACGAAACGAAACGCCTTGTTAGGCCCAGTTCATATAAACGCGAATTGTGGATTTAAAATTTAAATATGTACATGAACTGCAAGATCAGTAAAAGATCTTGCATGAACTCGGCTACAGAAAATATAACAGGACTGAAAATATTAACAAGTGAAGAACACAGTGCCGTTAGAGAACAGCGTCGTACTAAAATATTCTTATTCTGAGGAAAATTAGTATAATCAACAGTTTATTTAATAGAGAAACCAGAAGAATAGACATTGAGACTAAAAACAGGAGATCTGGTAACACTGACGGCAACTGAAATGGCAAGGCGCCAGCTACCAGCTAAACACAGTAAGCTCCCCCTCTCTTCAATGATTCGGGCACAGTGGCGGCGCAAAATCTGGGAGATCATTTTGCCGGACCCTGTATTACTTGGAATGTTATTATAACTAAAATACACTTATTTTCTTTTGGATTTTATTATATTGTTACTGTGAAAGAATGTTCCAAAATAGTCATGGTGATGCTAGAGTTAATTTTGTCCAAAAAATTGTTTTAGGAAAAATGTCAAATTTATGTGATTGTATTGCGCGACTACAGTATATTATCGTTTATCGTTTCTTCTAGGACATAAACATATTGCAGGCGATTTGACGTGAAGTGTTTGTTTCCAAGCACCTACCAACTATATTCCCAACTAATCGCTATTAGTGAGCACTTTTGGTTAAGAAAAAATACTTCCACAAGTAGTTATTATCGTTCTTTATTTTTCCATATTAGCAAAATCCCAGTTAAACAGAAAATAACCAATATGCTACTAATTAACAATATCAGACAATATGAAACAAATGAAAATGTTACATTATAATTTGATATCATTTATGGATATTTTAGATCTAAGTCCATTTAACCTTATAATCGTGAAGATTCGACACAGTTTCGGACATTTATAGGGTATGCTGCATTTTAGATAAACTTAACAGTAAAAATAACAGTTGAGATTATTTTCATTTAAATTTAATTACCTGTCTGACCATTTAATCTTAAGATACATATCTTGAGAGGCCGTTAAAAAAACACATGGCAGAAATAACAAGTAAAATATAAAATACTGATATTTTATTCTGAAGAGTGTACAACGTTTTCCACTCATGCGATACATTCCACGTAAGGCGGAGGAGATGCAACAAAAGTTGTTTTGTTGTTTGAGGTTCCTACTCCATGTAGATCACACACGTGTCGGTCGCTAGGCACGTAAGGCATGTGTGGCAATCTGTACTGAGGGTATGAGGTACTGGAAGTGTTTGCCAATCCTCTGTCAGAATCAAGGTGGAGTGGTGCGTCCTCTTCTTGAATCAAGCGGTGACGGAAAGTGTATATCACACACATGTTGTAAGTCATATACACTGAAAAAAATTGGTTTTACTAGAAGAGTTCAACAACATTCTAGAACCCGAAAACGACTGTTATTTTTATTGCGATTTTATATCGAATTCATGTACTTATCGTAAACAAGATTGCAATTTTTTTATCAGCTTCTTAACAAATAATTAATTTTGATATCTCAAGAACTGTATTGATGAAAATATTAATAAAAGATAGTACTTCAAAATTCATTATTTATATTAATATAAGTATAAATACAGTCCCCTTCATTTGAAGTGCTACAGCAAGTTATTTTTAGGCAGTTATTAGTAAATGGGAGAATAGATCAATTCCCTTGGCACAAAGATTTAGGATTTATCACTAAATTATGAAGAAATGCAGGCATCATACAAAATGTTTGAGTAATCATAAATGTTAAAGGAAAAATTGGGTTAGATGATTACGGATCTAAGTATCTCTTTAAAACTCATATTTCTTTATGGAAACTTCTATATAAAACTTATATTGCGTTTATGTTTTATTACGGTTATCAGCAAGTAATTTAAAAAATACAAATATTTGTCTAAATTCCATTTGATGTATGGTCTACATAAAATTTACAATAAAACAAAGTTACAATAACAGAAATGTATACATCAGGACTAAAGTACCTTTAAGGTATACAGGGTGTTTCAGTTCGAGTGAATCAAACAATAAATAATTCAAAATTGTCTTATAAAGCAAGATTCTAAGTCTCACCCTTTTCACTTTACAGGGCCCTATTGCTCCTTAAAATTATATTATTTATGAGAGCTTTGGTAGGTATGCTTATAATAAATTGATTAAAATTTGATGTAGTATCAACATTTACACACGTGAATAATTGACTGTAAAATTTACACATTTTTATAGGTCAGTGGCGTAGGAATGGGTAGTAAAGCGTGATTTTTTTACCCAAACTTCTACGCCAATGACCTAATAATCATTTGCGATTCATTTTTAGATTCCGTGGACAGTTCAACATAAAAATGGTATACTAGTTGAAAATTGGTATAGTGTACCTCAGTTGAATGTGCGAACGTTCTTCTGATCTAAGAAATTTAGTTTCTTAAGGATAGGAATTAAATTTTAAATTGATATTATTATGTCACGTATTAGAATTCAAAACAATATTAAATAATATGTCTCTACATCGGCGAAACAACTGGTAAATTTTAAATATAATCCCTTGTGTTTTATTTATTGCATTCGTAATGTGATGAATTCCGAGGGTCAATTCTCTCTCTTGTGAGCTCATTTTTATGTTGCACTACAGTGCGGTGGACAGCATATTCAATGGCACCTCCATAGACATAATATTGTTTTGAATTCTAAGTTAATACGTGACATTATAATAATATGACTTTAAAACTTATTTCCTATCCTTAAAAAACTAAATTTCTTAGAGCAGAAGAACGGTCTCACTGAGTTTGTCGGTAAAACGATACACTATACCGAAAGTATACTCTTTTTATGTAGAATTGTCCACGGAATCTAAACATGGATCCGAAATAATTATTAGTTCATTGGCGTAGAGGTGGAATAAAAAAATCCCGCTTTACTACTCATTCCTACATCACTGACCTACAAAAATTTTACAGTAAATTATGCCCATGTGTTAACATTACAACAAATTTGAATAAATTTATTATAAGCATACCAAAGATTTCATAAATAATATGATTTTAAAAATCGACCAATACGACCCTGTACAGTGAAAACGGTGAGACTTAGATCCTTGTGTTATAAGAAGGCAATTCTGAATTATTTATTGAGTTCTATTTGTGGTTAAAGTTTGGTTCACCCGAACTTAAACACTGTATAATAGATCTTATTACATGAAGTTAGTTAATATGTTCAAACTTCTTTTTCTATACTTAATTAGACGATCTTAATTGACATCTAAAGTATGTTTTATATCTGTTTTATTTATATTGGTGTATTATGTAGGTTATTTTTATTTTCTATTAAATTTGTACCTCTATTATACTTTAAAATTATATCACCGCCTGTATCTGAAAATCGGTAGGTTGGTACTGAGATATTAAAATAGTATTCGTTGGAATTACATTCAAACAATTAAGCCTATACCTCATTTTATTTTGACATTGAACGGAATCGTAAACTATACGATATAGGTTCAAATTTAGACTTACATTGTATATTTTCATCAAGTTCCGCTACCCTAAAAATTCCTCAGTTCCAAAGGACCCCGCACAAATCTTATGGAAATTGGGTCCCGGTAAAATTCCCAGAATTCTTGATATGTGATAGAGTTCATCATACTGGTCAATTGTCTCAATGGCCACAAAGCTCAAAAATGGATAGTTTGGCCGGTACAGAGCTTTAAAGCTCCGAATATCCTCCACGGATTTATGTATATGCGCAGTGTGTATAGACTTTTGAAATAGCCTATTTCATTTTTTTTATTATCTAGGTTTATATTTTTGAGGTTGCTGAATTCAGATCTGTTGTTAGATTTTCAAAATTGACAGTTGGCAGCTGTCAAATAGCTGTCAATGTGCTATAATAAAGCCAAAAACTTGTTTTTTTATGTTTTATCTTTCTTTTTTTTTAGTTCGATAAGTTCAAAGACGATATCAAATCAATAACAATGACTATCGGCAGCTGTCATTTAGCTGTCAACAATTCTTCAAAGTCCGGTAATAAAGTCAAAAAATTATTTTTTGTTTATAACTTCAAGTTTTTTAGATAAGTGAATATAAATATGATATAAAATTATGTAGTCATCAGCTTACAGCTGTCAACAAGCTGTCAACTAACTGTCAAAATGCAATAATAGAGCAAGTAACTTATTTTTTGTGCTTAACTTTGTGGATAAGAAATCAAACATGATATAAGTTTATGACATCACTTTTGAACTCAGTGATCTAAGCAACTTAAAGCTTTTTAAAAAAAGTAACTTTTTGACTTTATTATTGCATTTTGACAGTTAGTTGACAGCTTGTTGACAGCTGTAAGCTGATGACTACATAATTTTATATCATATTTATATTCACTTATCTAAAAAACTTGAAGTTATAAACAAAAAATAATTTTTTGACTTTATTACCGGACTTTGAAGAATTGTTGACAGCTAAATGACAGCTGCCGATAGTCATTGTTATTGATTTGATATCGTCTTTGAACTTATCGAACTAAAAAAAAAGAAAGATAAAACATAAAAAAACAAGTTTTTGGCTTTATTATAGCACATTGACAGCTATTTGACAGCTGCCAACTGTCAATTTTGAAAATCTAACAACAGATCTGAATTCAGCAACCTCAAAAATCTAAACCTAGATAATAAAAAAAATGAAATAGGCTATTTCAAAAGTCTATACACACTGCGCATATACATAAATCCGTGGAGGATATTCGGATCTTTAAAGCTCTGTACCGGCCAAACTATCCATTTTTGAGCTTTGTGGCCATTGAGACAATTGACCAGTATGATGAACTCTATCACATATCAAAAATTAAGCGAATTTGACCGGGACTCAATTTCCATAAGATTTGTGCGGGGTCCTTTAATCGAAACAAAAAGCATTGTCTTGAAAAAAAATAAATTATTTGTTAAAGGTTTACTGAAACAAAATTATGCAAAGATAACTTGAATAATTTACATAAATCTAAGGAAACTATCTTTGCAATATAGACCATTCATTGCTGGACACTCTATTGATATAATAACCCGATATATTCTAACACCCAGTTTCACAATCTGTGGTTAATTAGCAGTTAATTCCTTACCAAAGGTTAACTGCAAGTGAGCTGTTTCACAACTTCAATGTCTTATGGGTAAGTTGACCTGAAGATTTGTGGTTAAAGTTAATCTATGAAGGGGTAACTGTCATATTAAAAAAATAAATCAAAAATGAATTTTGAAGATTACGAAGTATATGCTTACAGTAGTGATGAGAAGGTCAGGAGACCACGAATTTTCAGGGGAAGGCCAATTTTTTTTTGAAGAATATGACACAAAAGACTTTTTCACAAGATTTAGGCTTTCCTCAGGTACAGTAGAAAATTTACTAGAAGAAATACAGGATCTATTAAACACCGTTCGCAAAGGTACATATTTCTATATATTCTGAAAATTACAATACCTATTTTTTTTAGTTTTCTTATGTATCTCAATGCCAGAGAACAGCTACGTTTGACATTAAATTTTGTTGCCAATGGATCTTTTCTAAGAACTAGATTTCTGTGGAGGTAGTAAAGCCATAGCAAGTAGGGAGGTAAGAAGAGTAAGTTTAGCGACAGCAGGCTTGCGACCACAATATATAAAAATGCCAGAAGAAGAAGAAATCAACCAATATTGACAAGACTTTTACAACATTGCTCTATATCCAAGCTGTATTGGTGTAGTAAACTGTACCCACGTAAAAATCATATCTCTGGGGACTGAAAACGCTTAACTTTTGAGAAACAGAAAACAATTATTTTCCTTAAATGTGCAAACAGTTAGCGATCCTAATCTTGAAATTCGTAACATAGTCACAAGATGATTCAAGTTATGATGCCCACATTTTTAGAAATTCCGTATTAGGTATGTGCTTCTTTGGAAATGGGTCACTTTGGTGACAGTCTGTTGATCGGCGATAGTGGTTACTTACTTATTTCCTCACACAAATAAGTGGCTGTCACAAAATAAGTCACTACAAGTTATTTCTTCATCTTCTTCTAAACTTTGTCACTTGTCCATTGCAATAAATTCATAACGACGCTCTAAAAATAAGCTTAACCCCAGGTTGGCTTACTTGAAGAAGTAATCGCTGTTGTGAAACAATTCAATTGTTTAACCACAAGTTAACTCTTGGGTCAAAGTTACCTCACCAAAAAGATAACCAACGATTGTGAACTGGCCGTAAATGATATTTAAGAAGTTCGTTAAGTAGTTTATAGAAAAAAAATGAGGGAGCTAATTTTAATCAAAGCATACTTGCTTTTTAACTATTCGAATATGTTTTCATTTTACTGTCTAAAAAAACATAACTGACAATGAGTGAAACAATTCTAGTAGTAGTCTAATTTTGTCCTTCTTAAAACAGAAATTGATCTATCTCATATTGGGATTAAACCAATAATTCAAATGCGCTTAGTCTAGCAATGCATTCAACAGACTTCCAAGTGGTGGTAATGGTCATAATTAGTTAATGAGATGTCAAAAACCAACGAATTGTTGTTTGCTTTGTCAGCCAGGCAGCGCTAAATAAAATCAGTTCATACCAGATCAAATATAGGCTGGTATTAAGTAAGCTGTATAGACGCTTTCATAAGACTAGGAAGTCAGTAGGCTGATGAGCTAGGTTCACTTATCTGTAGATCTACAGAGGCATTAATCCTGCTGCTGCATTGCTAGTTGAGTTATTAAGATACATATGTGGAAGTGAGTGAAAGACGAAATCCAAACATGATGCCAAGAGACAAACCAAGAAGTTCTCAAAAGAACCGTCGGAAGAGTTAGAAGTAGACCTGCTAAACCAAAGCCGTAAATTGGTAAAGATAACAGATGGACTGTTACCAAGAAAATGTAGACTCGGGATGCATCTGAGTAGTATTGGTCTGGTAAAAGATAGGTTGTCTATATAATGCGCTACCTATTAGCAAGGAGAAGCAATTAAGGAGACTTTGTCCTAATTAGAAGCAGCCTAATTAGAAGGCCAAAACTAGATTGAGAAATCTAAAATGATGGACGCACACAATTGACTTTGTATTGTAATTTACATCCTTCCAGAATCGGTTCGTTGGGTCATTATATGGCCTTAAATTTCCTGAATATCTTTTTGTTTTGAATTTTTTTAATAACTCGAATATGCATTGATCTATTTTAATTGTTTTGGGGTATGGTAAGTTTTTGTCTCTTACACAATTTAGAGCAAGGGTCGGCAACTGGCGGACCGCGGTCCAGGTCCGGACCGCGGTCCAGGTCCGGACCGCGGAAGGTAAAATACTGGACGGCCAAAAATTTTTTGAAAGTATAAATTACTCAAATAAATTATTTAAAAAATGTTTTCTAGTATTTTACAATTGTGTGAGTGTGTGAGTTCTTAATGGTTAGTAAGCAGATTAAATTTGAGTCCAAATTAAAATAAAAAAATAAGAAATATGAATTTTTTTTCTGGACCTCGTTAAAAATTTTCAAATGTATCCGGACCCCACCTAAAATTATTTGACTTGATTTAGAGACAAAAAATAATTCTATAAAGTACCTACATATCTTGCTAGTAGGTACTGATTTTGTTTGATCTTAAAACGTATTTGTATTTCAATTCCGAACGAATATTTAAAAGGTTGCAAATATTGAAAGGCGCCTTGTAACATTGTATCGAAGAAATGAAGGTAGGATGTTACCATATAATAAGAATTGCAAAGATGGAAAGACAAATTTTGGATAGGACTGAGGAAACCCCCTAAAATAAGTACTAGATGCGTAGAAAGTGAACTGGGAGTTTCTACGGTCATCACTTCTACCCATAGATTTAGAAATGTGGTTTATTCGAAATAAGCAAACCTGCAATATGAATTTTAAAAAACGAATTTTATTTACTGATGAGGATATCTTTACAAGATCTAAAGTAACTAACCTTCACAATGATCATGACTACGCTGATGAAAATGAACAATCTCAGTTACTCAATCTCAGTTGTTAGGAATGTAATTCAATACCAGCTGGTGCATAAAGCCCATAGAGTTAGATGCTTCCTACAATATCATCAGTTAGACATGCGTTTATAGTAGCTACATATTAGTAGGCCACTTTGAGCAGGTAGGTACATAGGTAGGTACATGTGCCAGTAGACACAAAGTAACAATGACATTTAAAGGCGACATACATTTTGTGGATTATATCTCGTCAAAAGTGAATTACTAAATCGACTTATTTTGTGTCCAGGAATCTGTGGTTTCCTTTATAAACACATGTACATGATACTTTGTGTATATGTTTTCATAAAATTACTTACATGTAACCAGTATTGGTAGAATGAGGCCAAGAACGCTAGCTCCAGAGTGACTAGTAATCGTTATATATACAGCAAAGTAAAAGGATGAGATTTGTAGAACAACCAGCTCCATAACAGAGAATAGTAACCATCCTGTTAAAATTATTTGCTTCCTCTAAAAAAAATCAATGTAGAACATGTGCTGAGATGATTTTTACTGGTAGATAATTAAAATTTTATTAAATTGATAGAAGTATGGCTTTTCAAATAAATATTTCCCTTTTTTATACCCCAAAGGTCACTTGTATTATTAATAACTCGGTACGTTTTTACATTGTTATTAATTTACATTGTTATTAATTTATATTGTTATTAATTTACATTGTTATTAATTTCGAACAACAGCAATCAGCAACGTTACGACAAACTCGTGAAAACAAATGAAAAAAAAAGTTTTTCTATAATATTTTCAAGGTGATATTTCAAATATAGGACGTGAATCACAGTTCTTAATTTATTTTTCAAGAATAACTGAAGATATATGTTTGGAATTTGGTACAGAGCATTTTTTATATTAGCTACCTTAATGCAAAATATGAATAAAAATCAATCGCATCGTAATTAGAAGAGGATTATGCGAAGTTCAATTATGAAAAGGAGTTATTTGACGCTGAACAATTTCTAATAAAAAAATATTTGACTATTGAGTTTTATTTTTTTAATGTTTATTAGGAGAGGTTTAGCAACCATGACGATTTTTGAACGTTTTCCAGAAATCGATCATAAATAGAAAACAATAAGGAATAATTGGAAAGGAAAAGTTTTATCTACTATCAGACTACTTTGAATTCAAATGAATGCAAATTTGTGCAAAAGAAATCAACTTCCTCATGGTTAATGAATCTTTCTATAAAAAAAAAACTACAAACGTTTTATTTGACAATGGTCTTTTTAAATATATGAAAAATATTCTCTTTAACGTCAAATAACTTTTTTCAAACAGTTGGAACCTTTTAGCCCCTTGAACTTGTATACCAACTGTGAGGTAACTATATGTATACAAATCTTCAGTGTTCATTGAGCAATTGATTAAAAAAATTGTGGGTTACATCCAATATTTGAAGAATTGTAGATCCCTCAGATATGGTTAAAATCGTTACTCCTATCCTTTTTTTTATTATTGAGACGAGCAAAATCTACCCTGACTGTTTATTAGAATGTCACTGTTACACTCTCTATATTAAGTGATATCTAAGACTTACCTTAATAAGGCCAAATATTAGCCACAAATAAGCAATAATGTCTATTACTATGAAAAACATTATATCTATTAATATATGTGTGATAGGTTTTTCCTTAGTTTTATTAATTTTATGTCCATGAACGTAGTAACCTAGGAAATAGAAACAAACAAATCTGTTAATACTAAATGTTGTTATCGATAGTTGATGATAATCTTTAGTTTAGTCGTTAGCATAGAAAATAATTAAATAATGCAAAATATCTTTACCTCTTTTGCCTGGAGATGCTTCTATAACGACTTTGAAGAGGATTGCCAAACATAATATCTGAATAGCCAAGTTTATACATGACTGAATTAGTCCAACTTTTCTGAAGTTGTTACCAGTACACAGGCTACCTTTTAAGAGAAACATATTTTGAATGCCTCTTACACTTTAGGAGAAAGATGTTGAAATGAATGGTTCAATGGAGACCTGTTTGCTAGATAAGATAAAATTCTTAGCAGATGTAGCACTTAAGATAGATAATAGTAGGAGATGAGAGTATGTCAAATAAGTTGAAAATACGATGTATTATTGACAGATAACTTATAAGCGGTGTGGAGGTAGCTGACGCAGTTAGAGCAGCTAATATTTCGGAATTCAGCCGATGCAATTAGAAAAGTAAGAATATTAGAAGATAGAAGCATATAAAGGTGGACACACATGGAAACTGCAGAGATAGTTATAAACACTGACTTTTGGACATCTTCTTTTCCTAGTGGCTGGTTGTAATAAGTCCTATGGCACCGCGGCCTTATCAGGCCTATTGTGTGTCCCACTACTTAGTCCTATTCAGCAAGTAGTTTTCTTATTTTAACAAAGTCCAAAAGCTTCCTTGCCGACACTTCTCTCAGCTCCTTGGGTTCCATCTAGAGTCCACCCATGAGCGTCATTCAACTACGTGCAAATTTTGAGTTTCATCCGCCATCATCAGTTATATCGTCATATCTTCGGCAAACCGGACTGTCTACTAGCTTTAGCTTAAAGATGTTTCCCAAAGTGACAGTGTCCTGTTATAAGTCTCGTCACTCTCCTGAGCCGAATTTTATTCAAGCTCAGCAACTCATTTGCTCTTTCCTTCAAAGGAAACTTCATAAGCTCCTATGAATGGCTATGCCCTAGCCTTGAAATCCGGTACTTCCTATGTTTTGTCTCGGTCAGACTGGCCACACTGGGAGATGTACCGCAGAACGGCTCCGGGCCAATGAACTCTTCTCGGATCCCTTTCTAGCAAGTTCATTCGTTCTCTTGTTCCAACTAATGCCTTTGTGTTTTGGCACCCAACAGTCTAACTGTATTATTGGTAGCCAGTTCAGTCAGCATTTGTAAACATTCCTACAAACTTTTCGTTCCATCTGCTTTGATCCTCTATTCGAATCTCAAATGGCTTGTGCAAGTGAAACCGTGAAACTATCTTGTCAGATACCATCCCAAGAGTCGGTTCCGACATAGATGTGTCCATAATCCTGGAATAGGGACTACACCTCCAGTCGTTATTATTCCGAATACACCCCACACCTAATACAGGTTCAGAGAGTCCAGTCAAATTTCTTCTCCTGGTGACCTTGGACATAGTATGAGTGTATAATTTATATACACATACAATTTGCAACAAATTATGTTCAGAGTCATAAAAGTTTATTTCTGGTTAAGTTACCGGCTTACACTTTTTTAAATGGATAATAATTAGTTACTAATCCCTTTCAAAAAATTGCGTGAAAACATCACAGACAATTATAAAAACTGGTTTCTGGACACGCCATGTACTTACCAATTTTTTAAGAGAGGTCAGATAAGAACACCTTAAAGATATCGCTGTTATCTGCTGCACGATTTTCATACGTCAGAGAAACATCACACCTAGTCATAACAGTCGACTTCTGGATACGCTATTTACTAGCATATTGTTTGAGCGTAATTAGTAAAAAAAATAAGTTGGGAATTTGGAAAGGGGAATATGAAATCATGAAAAAAAGTTCAAAATTGACTGTTTATTTTCAAATAATCGTCCCCTTTAGTCTAGTTTAGGGTTATGGAATATCACAAAGATGACATGACAATCCAATGAGCAGTTACCGAATAAAATTCCGGTATAAATATCTCGAGATTCAAAAACCCAACATCAATAAAAAAAATTCGCATTGCAGCACAAAATTTACCTATTATACAGGCTGCGGCTAAAGTTACTTTGAGGTTAAGTATGTCTATGACTTAACAACAAAATGCTGTACAATAAACGTCAGTTTGAAAAATAAAAGTTTATTTTTTGCATTGGTTTGATGCATTTTGCTAATTTTTGGTGTCCAAGAACGTTGTGTCATTCTTCCATTTGATAAGATGTATTATATATTTTTAAATTTGTCCAAATTACCTTTAAAATAGAGTAAACAAATATACTACTATGCCTATAAATTTGTTAGTTTTGTGACAGAGAATTATTAATTGTAGTTAGTATATCCACTTACATTTTTATTCATCTGAAAAGCATCGGTCTTTTCCAGTATTCATGAGAATTCTACTTAGGCGGAAAAGGGCATATTTCGTCTGCCACTCATTTGAAAAAGGATGTATTTTACAGCAATCAACAAAACAAAACAAAAGCTCGCTGCTACCTGTTAATTGACATCGAGAATGCCTCCAAAGACCCATTACCCTCGAATGTATCATCCTACCCATTAGAAGCGCCGGAGCAATTTTCCCTTTTCGCTAAAACTTTCCTGCAATTGCCCATAAATTATTTTTAGCCTCTGATAAATCTGTTACATAGGAGGAATATAAGAGGAACCGGTTAATGTTTGTGAATTTTTATCGGTGGTAAATTCTTTATTTATCTATATACGATTGAGCAGTTTATTTGTTTTATAACTGTTATTGACTTTGTAGTACTTTCCTTCGCTATTGATAAATATCATAAGTTCTATAAAAACCGTACCGGCAAATTTTTATCAAGAAAAATATTGTAGATTGTGAGAGTGATTCTGGATACAAAACAACACAATTTTTTTTTATTAGTTTAGAAGATATTTCAGGAAAAACATTGTCAACAGGTCATCCTGAGGCTGCTATATATTCGCAAGGAGTCAGAATCAACCACTAGGTCATTTTTTTTACAAATATAACAGCATTACTACAAAAGTAAATCTAAATTTTTAAATATCAGGAAAATATAACAGAAAACAAAGGACACATTTTTAAAGGTACATGTGAGATATCAATACCACAAGAAGCCGAAAATATTACATGAAATGTATTTAAAGACCTTTAATTCGAATAATTTGGATATATCGTTTTGGAACCAACAACAGTATTCGAAATCAATTTCAGGGTATACCTTAGGATTGTGATAGTGGGTGTTCCTACACAGAGCCGAACCCGACAAGAAGGGCAGATCAAAGATTTCTATCTAGTTACGGCTAAGAAAGGGCAGCGTAAATATGTTACTGATAGCGACCAAATACACAGACCACGACGCGGCATAACTCGAAAAACCATAGTATATAAAACAACTGTGATAGTTTATAATTAATTTATTTGTTTACTTTCATGGACAGTTGAGATATCATATAATATTTAATCCATTATTACTAAGCTTGTTGGTCTTTGAAACTCGCTGATTGGGCTGATAAAAATTTAAAATTGCCTTTCACATTTTTCCAACTATTCCCACTTAATAATACGGCCGTTTACAAATACTCTGTGTTTTGAATTCCTCCTTGTTTACGTAATTTTGATGTTCACTAATTTACACATCCAAAAATCTTGAACAATCACAAAAAATATTGTAAATAAGTGTTAAAAATTTTGTTGTTATTTTTTAATCATATTATTATAATAGATAAAACTATTTTGCAAATAAAGATAAGTATATGTCTAATTTTGCTTTAAATGTTGAGTACTGGTACACATTCAAGTAATATTATACAGGGTGGTCCTTAAATAATTGTACATAGAAGTATGGTAGATTTGTGACTTGAAAATATTACGATTTGAGCCTTAATAAAATATTGATAATAAGAAAGATACAGGGTGTTAAAATTGAAATTTCAAAATTTATTTTTCGCAATAACTTTGGACATTTATACAAAAAAATTTTAACTGGGGGTTTCTTGGTATGAGAAATCATAATTTGGTATCTAATTTAATGTATCTTTTAGAGGGCGCCACATAAGCCACATTTGTGGCATAAATGTACGCTAAACTTTTTTGCTCATCAAGGTATCGCTCTTTTGGGAAAAAAATATTAAAGACACGGCATTGCAAGAACAAAAATGTATACTTGTTTAACAACCTCTAAATTTAACGGTTTTCGAGATAATCGAATTTTAAACATCGGCTGCATAATTTAATTCATTACGAGAAATATTGACGTAGAAATCGTATACACTTATCATGTTTTTACATCAACAGGATGAATATTAACGTAGTAGTAGGAGTTGACATCAAAAATTTAAAAAATTTAAAATTTTTTTAAAATTAAATAATAGTACATTGTACTATAAGGGAGAGAAATGCGTGATTTTGGCAGAGGTGCAATTTCAAGCCCGAGGGCTACAATGCACCGAGGACAAAATAACATCTCTCCCGAATGGTATATACTATTTTTTCCACGGTCTCATTAACTTAAAAACACATATTTTGTCATTATGAAGTAAGTAGTTTTGAGCATTTATTTAGTAGTCGTTGAGTTATTGTCATAACTACAAAATAAACAAACAAAAAGAATTGTCAAATTAAGGTGCTAGTTTGGTTTAGTTTAAAGTTTGTTTAGTGCACAATGAATAATTGTGAGTCGGAAGAGATTGTGGATGCTGCAAATATTGCAATAAGCAATTTGCTGCCTACGAAGTCAAGATCTTTATACGATATAGCCTACAATCGGTTCAAAAAGTGGTGCGCCGAGAAAAATTTTCAAGTATACAGCGAGAATGTTTTGTTGGCATACTTCAGTGAAAATACAAAGAATTACAAGTTTTCCACATTATGGGCGCAATATTCTATGGTTAAGTCATGCTTGATAATTTACGACAACATAGATATAAGCAAATTCCCCAAGCTGATCGCATTTTTGAAAAGAATCGGTGACGGATATCAAGCGAAAAAATCGAAAATACTGACAAAGGGTGAAATCGACCGTTTTCTATCAAGTGCAGATGACAAAGAATTCTTAATGATTAAGGTAAGATTACCTTTGTTGTTAGGTATTTCAATTATTAAGTATTTTGATTTTTTATAGGTTGGATTAATTCTGGGGATTGCCGGAGCTTGTCGAACTGATGAACTAGTCAATTTAACTGTAGATGATATTGAGGATGTCTTCCTTGATTGTAAAAATTCCAAAGACTAAGACAAATATTCCACGAACCATTGTGGTTACCGATGTGGGAAATATGCTTGAATTGTTTCGAAAATACCTGTCCC